ACAGATAGATAGATAGATAGATAGATAGATAGATAGATAGAGATAGATAGATAGATATGTATTCTTTATTTTAAAATGCTTTTAAGAATCTCTCGGTTTCGCCTATTCCAAAAGATATATTTGAATATAGTCCACTACCTATTGTCGATTCTAGCAAACAATCAATGAAATAAATAGAGCAGAAAAAGCTCCATTAATTTTCCTTTGGGTGTATTCTTTTCATTTTCTTTATTTCTGTTGAAACTTGAATAAAGCATGGAATAATAATAATACAACACAAAATGTACTTAAACAAAATGTATTGACACAAGAACGTGTACACAATATTTACAGATAGTTTGGTATATTCTTGGGAAGACCGTTCATGTAGAATGGGTTGACATTAGTCGCAGTCGGGCAGAGTCTCTGGATTGGATCTCTTCTTCCTCACCCGTCTTCTCGGTACCAACCATATTTATATGGTCGGTACTCCACTATGTAAATTAGGTGGATCGTACCACAACAATTTCCCATTCCAACACTTGTCTAATCTATGACTATACGGATATATCGATTTGCTTCGTACATCATGAGGCCAGATGAGTGACAGGATATTAGGATTAGTGGAGGGGGCGCTTTGAAAAGTAGAATTTAAAATGTTGGTTGCGGTTCTTTGACGGAATTCCAGTGGGGAATGTGTAGTAGTGATCTCATTCGCCAGACAATCTATACAATGCTTGAAAATTTGCAACGTGGATACAGAACATCGATTTCACAGGCGTTAAAACCAATTCTTTGTAATTTGAGGTTGACGACACAATGTATTATTTCTCTTAGAAGAGGTTATTAGAGTCCATGGATATATGGGAAATGTCACAAAGCAGTTTAACATGACTATCACTTGTCAATAACATATTAAGGTGAACCAGGGAACCCAACGCATGACACGAGCACACCGAAAACCATTCTGTAACCGTCACCAGTCTACACAGAGCCTAGTTGACAACTGGGAACAATAGGCTAATATTAACGAGGAACAACAGGGCGATGAATCATCAGAACATACCATACGAGATCGGTTCTTCAAAGTCCAATTAGCGACATCACGTGTCCAGTTAAGACACTGCGTTCGGTGTCTAGTTAGTCTTCTGTCGTATTCTACAAAATCCAAAGAATGATGAACTGACCTACTGAATATGCACCCAGTACCTTCTGCAGTGAATGGCAATTTTATCTGTTCCAATGTCGCTTTTCCTTTAACCCAGACAATTCAAGCCAGACTCCACAAATCAGAATCATTAAAAAAGTGTAGCCGGCCACTTCGCTGTCTATGCTGAGCAATGTCTCCCGTAAGGTATTCCAGGTATACACCCGGTATCGTAGATAGATGGATATCGAATATCCCATCTGTCGAACATCCACTATCTTGGGCCGCTCGAACTCAAATAATTCACATCGACTTTTCATGTGTAGACGAGCCGGTGTTCACAATGCCTCGCCAAACGTCATAGAACAAGAAACATAGGCCTGTGTATTTCAATGACGTCAAGATATGGTGATGTCTGGGACAATTACATTGACATGCTGCCTATCCATGACTTCTGGTACGTCAGTGTATAACAACCAAGATGAGAATAATGTTAAGTGATTGGTTCCTTTTCTACGACTTATCAACCCTTCGCAGGTTATTTAAAACCAGAAAACATTTTAGATTGTAAGAATCTTTAAATCATAATGGTTTAGTAATACAAGTACTAATTAACCCATAGCTGGAGGAAGAGGTGGATTCATACCGTTCCCAAGGATATTTGCTCGTAATTGAATAAAACAAACCCAACTGGTATTGGACCACGGCTCTGAGATTTCCAATTCCGAACCATTATACATTACACTACCCGCACATCCAAGCTTACAACACTTGCTATTCCAAAGCAGTCACCCGTCTAGTTACTGACCAGGCTTGACATTACTTAACTTCAGCGATCGCACGGGAACTGATGTTTCAACGTGATGTGGCCGTAAGCTACGAGGATATTTCTCCTAATATAAAGGTATATTATATTGGTAATCCCTTATCAAAAGATTCCGATGTCTATGTTTATTGGCTTTTATTTTCATCTTATTATTGTTGCTTTTTATCGCAAGGCTCGGATGTTTTGGCCTTGTTCGAGAGTTAGGTAATAATTCAGAAAAAAGAAAAGATGTGATCTCTGACGGGACTCGAACTCACATTCTATATTCTGCTTTTTTAAAAATAGAGTACATAGACAATCGGTGACTGGTTTCATGAAATATTATCTGTGTGAAAAAGTCCCCAACCTCATTTTTCGAAAACTAAAGAGCGAATAAAATATTGTTATATAGCGTACCTATGAACAATGATGGGTATGTCCCAATCCACATAAATACGTTGGAAACTATTGTAAATGGGGCTAATATGCTAAGTAGTCCACCACTAGCAGTGGTTTACCTACTTCACGCCGCTGGCGAGTATTGTATTTTGTTGATGCTATAAAGATTACCATTTACATTTTTGTTGTGGATTCCGGGGATGGAATCCGGCACAAATAAATAAACACGCCAGTAATTGAAATAGAAAAAATATGTGTATTAAACGTAAGAATACAAAGTTGAAATGAAGATTAGTAGTCCAGGAATGCGGGTTAGTAGAAAAGTATATGTACAAGTCTCTGTAAGTGAAGCCGTAATTATCCCTCTTTCCGGATTTTCGTATCACTCTGAGAGAACATCCTGTGTCGACCTTTCTTTCACGCTATCTCTTCGTAGTATAAGTATATTTGGACGAGTCCATCTTGTGTACAAAAGGCGAGCCCCACAATAATTTCCAACCTCCGTTTTCTTCCTAGGTTACAACAGATAGATAGATAGATAGATAGATAGATAGACGTTGTATTTATTAGGTAGTTGTATTTGAGTAGACATCCTTGTTACTATAACAGTGAAAATAATGTATACCGTCCATGAGATCGAAAGTCATATTACATAAAAAGTTCCTTCCGACGCACACACAAACACATACACACGCGCACACTGTCATACTCATGTGCACTAACATACATGCGCACGCACACACACGCACACACACATAAACATAAACACACACACAGGAACACACAGAAACGAAAGTCACTTATTGCAGTTAATGAATATCTAAAAATTCTTAACATTACTTCACGTTTAATTGCAATCTCTTCTCAAATAGTGCAACGGTGGCCTAGTGAATACGCCACTTAACTATCCAGCTCAGAATCACGACAGGATTCATGTTTTTATGTATTTGATTTAGCATTTAAGAGTTTATTCGCAACATTATCTTCTTATATTCCCCTTCTGGAATGCAAAGACAAGCTTAAAGATAACATCATGACAATTGGAATGCTGGAGGATATACCGAATCTAAGAATTGGAGCCAATCCCACAGTGCTGGAATAAATCGTTATGTGACATCTAGAATGAAGATCTTGAGTAAACCATGAGTCAAGACAACTTTGATGGATTTGCAAACAACGTGGCTTATCTTGCAAGTGCAGTGGGGCTTGGTTTCGCGTAAAAAAAAGGTTACATAAAACATAAAGGAGTAAAAAGAGTTAAATTTTGCCTCTCATGTATCGATACAACAGGAAAGTCTATCATAGATAGATAAGTGGTATACAGAATTTTGGTCTGAGCAAAAATAGATAGATAGATAGATAGATAGATAGATAGATAGATAGATAGATAAAGGAATATATTAAAAATATATATGAAAAGATTTATATAAATATGGGATATATACATATATATATATATAGAGAGAGAGAGAGAGAGAGACAGAGAGAGAGACAGAGAGAAATGCATAGACTGAGATAAATAGAAATGAATAGACTGAGATAGATAGATAGATAAATAGATAGATAAAATGCACTGATATATTTACAAACATGTACTAATGTAGCGAGATAGATACATACATACATACATACATACATACATTATATGTATAGATTGCATATTTGGCAACTATTGTTTTAATTTAAAATAATAGACATTTTATGTCTATTAAATTTATTAATCGTTTTTATCAAAAATGCTAACTTTGCAAAATCGGCTGTTGTATATGCAAAAAAAAAAGTTACTAAAACTTGTATCTAGGTTCAAGCTTTCGACTCACATGAGAAAATAGAGAAGGAAAGAAAACTAAATACATTATAAGTAGCGCATTGTTTGAAAAGTGTCGTTATATTTTCTTTGAAATTTAAATCCAGAGCATTAGATCACACTAAATTATACCACCAATATGTAATGTTTATTTTTTTATGCAATAATGGGGGTTTTATACGATTAATGGTTGGTTGCATGTGTCTAATTTAAATGGCTACAATACTATTTAATCTTTTTTGAAATTAGATCTATGAATATATATATATATACAATGAATCATTCATACAAAAAGTAGATTAGTAAAGTTAATGATATAAAATGGCGAAAACTTCGCAATCAAAATTTTAAAGTTGCATTAACTTAAGAACCACTCGATGAATGTCATGATCCTTGTTTTTAATAACTACAAACTGTATAAGGTCTTTTTTTAATCTACTAGTACTTTCAACTGTACATATAGCCATCCTCAGGCATGGAAATTATTTTGTTTTTAGTAAATCCAGGTCGCATCAGAACTGCACCACATATGACATATATATATATATATATATATATATATATATATATATATATATATATATATATATATATATATCCTTAAACAAAACGGACGTCATACATAAGGTACCTTTCAGCCAACGCTTTTTCAAAGATATTCGTTGGCAATATTAGATATAAGTGAATACAAGAATACAAAGACACACTTGATGAAGTAAATGAGGAGGCAAAGGTGGAACTCGAGTAAAAGACAAATTTTAATTATATAAATTAAAATTGAACGAGGGGGGAATGTAAATAAATAGTTCCACAAGAGTTTAAAATAGAAAAAGGGGAACTCACAGACCCTCCAACAGACGTAAGGAACGTAAAAGTGTCCCTTCTGTCTGCACAGACTGGGTTGTTGACACTTAATATAGACGGCTTCAGAAGATGGTGAGTTGATCGAGCTCTCTGTAAAACCGAAAACCACATGTCTTCCTACTCAGAGGCACAAGCATGATTGTCCAGCAAATGTCGACCAATTGCAGACTCATGGACTGACTGAGTTGTTCTTCTTATAGGCTGAACGCACAAAAGCAGGAACATGCTGCACCACCCGTGTCTCCAACCTTATATTGGTACGTCCTATGTATACCGCGTCACAACGGCATTTAAATTAATAAACGACTAAATTTTTATGAAAATAGGACCATCTATCTTTAGTAAAGGAAGGAAGCAGGGTTCTAGTATGAAAAACCGTGCGCAACTTAACAGCATTGTATGTAGACAAAATGGATGCCGAAATTTTGTCCGATAATAGCTGATATTTCCTGCCAAGCCAAGTTAACTTCCTTATATAATTTTTCATTTATGTGATTAATGTTCATTACTGAATTAAGTGCGTTGACTTCGAAGGAGAAAAACAAAAATAATGTTCGTTGTATAATTTTTTTTTCATTAGGCTGAGAACTTATTAATATACATAGAGGTGTAAGCAAAAGTATTCTGTCCTATGATGCCGGAACAGGCATGGCATTCAAATTCCACTCCCGACCTATGACGCTAGCTGATCCAGGGGTTAACCCGGGGTCACTCCCGATCACCGATTAGGGAAGCACAGAACCTGGCGCCTGTATCCGGTTTTCAGGCGTGGGAAAAGATTTGTGATATACGTAGGAGTCTCAAGGTAGTCTCCTTCAGGCATCACAGGAGGGTCCACGTGTTGGACGGGGTCATGCGGTCGCATACTACAGAAAGTCAAAATATTGGAGTGAATAAAATATGAAGTAATGAAGACCCATGTCCCGTATTATCATTTAATTGCTTTCTCACTTCATTACAATTCCATGGGTGTGCAGGTGGTGTAATAAATAGCGGTTCCGGTTCAGTTTCTTGCTCCCCTGCCACCTAAAAACGTCAACGGTTTAAATAAAACGTCAATCGCCGTCTTCTTTCTTCCTGATAGCTCTTCTTTTATTGGTCTCTTCCCTTACTAATGTTTTCTTATTACTCCACTCCCAGTAAGCCATTGTGTTTTAGTAGCATTATCGCTTTGCTTGGGGTGAAACTATTTTTAAAATCCCATTCAAATTCATTGCATTCACTTACGCGCAAATACTCTTAAATAGCTGTCTATATTTCTGAGATGAGCTATTATGTACACTATTTACATTGTTCGGACTATCATCCTCATCTTTGTTGCTATATTTATCACAACGTTTCGGCCGTTGTACGTTCTGGCCTTCTTCAGGTGGTTGGTATGTCGAATTGTTCTAGTTCCACGTGCCATGAATGTTAGTTATCTCCTGTTAAATCCCCTCTATAAGTTCTCCACTGCGTTAACCAGGTATTGAACTCACACGCTTTGCTTTGAGGTGAAATTATTTTAAAAATCCCACTCGAATTTATTGCATCCACTTACGCGCAAATACCCTCCAAATATGTATAAATCCATCTCTTCTCCCTCCACCTATGGGTTAAATATTAAGAAGTCTATCTGAAAAAATCCTTATTCTCAAAACATTTTTAATGTAAAGGGTTGGTAAACCGTAAACGATAAATCAATCATGACAATTCTACCCCTAAATTATTTATCTTATATATAGCAACCATTTTGAATTTGATTAAATGATATTTAAGAATTCACAATTAATAAAACAGTTTTAATACTTGAACTGGTATAATATAGGGTGACCACTGAAAAACTGAAAAGCCATAACCTGTTCGTTTTCAATCTATCTTCTTTTTTCTTTTTTCTTTTTTTACAGGTTCTTTGGAGATTAAAATGCTACGTATAATGTCCAGCATCTATCTGAATAGCGAAGAATCACAAACAAAGAACTGTATCAAATAACAGAAACCACTTTACTTGAGGACTACCGACAGCAGCAACAACTAAAATGGATAGCACGTATAACTCAAAGAGAAAATAATGACATAATCAAGATGTTGACATTCCACTCCAAATAAAATAGAAAGTTCGGAAGGAAACCCCTATCAATACTGGAAAGAGCTACTGGACTTGAGAAAACTGTTTTCATAAAATATTGTTTTAAGAGAAAGATTTTATAAATTTCAACCGAAATTAGTCATGGCTGCTCGGTCAATGAATGCCAAAATGTTTCCATATAAGGAAGCAGCTGTTTTCATCATTACCATTCAATAAATCTTCTGCACCTCTCAGATGGTATATTCGACCATACTTTTATCCAAAATCGTCTGAAATCGTTCAAATTTAATGGCTACTTATTATGAAAGGCAATTTTTAATTCAGACCACAAATGTTTCATTGGATTGAAGTCAGGGAACAGAGAAGGTCCTTCGATTACCCGAATCCAATTCATAATCAATAAGGTATTGGTAATAGAATGTCCTTGTCTAACAGAAAATAAGTGTTTGTTTTTTTTTGTTTTTTTCGAAAATACAGACTACTCTTTTAGAGAATTTGTCCCCTCAGTCTTAGCGATTCTCTTGGTAGCTGATCCCTTATAAAACTATCTGTCCATCTCTATTATTCACAGTTTGGATGCTATTTTATATCGTGTGCTGGTTTATTTTTCTCTAAATGTAAGATTTTCTGTTAATTTGTAAAAGTTCCATTTTTGTTTCGTCTTTCTAAATAACTGTAGCACAGTAATCATTCAAGGAATCCATAAACTTTCTAGAGAATTTTAAACGTGTTTTGTCTTTTTATGTGTTTACTTTAGAATTGACTTTCTTTTGTGTAACGCATCCATGAAATAGTCAACGAATCTATCTTCTACGAATTGTTATGAGGTGTACATCTGTTCCAGTGTTCTATAGATCTACTTGTATATCGTTTACGATCGAATTTGGGAGTAACTGAAAATTGCCCTATGATTTTAGCTACATCTTGTTTTGAAACCTTCTGTAGAGACATCTTGATTTCCCCTCTGTCTTTTGTACAAATATTTTCATGGCACTTGTTCTATGTGCTTTTTGCCCTATTGCCCTACAACATGGACTTAAGGGTATTACTAAATTGGCAAGTAGGTCTCACCGTTTTACTGTTGAACTACCTAGATACAACTGCCATTACTACTCTAACAGTTTCTTTTCGCGCGCCTCCAACCTGTGGAACGCCCTTCCGATTTCTTGCTTCCCTGATAATGGTTGAAATTGCCAAAGACTTAAGTTGTTAAATCTGAAATAAAAAGAAACAAAAATCATTAGACGCTTAAACTTAATTCACATTTAAAATCGGTCCAAGTTATTGGAACACCCTATACAATCTTCAAAATTATAAATGCAACGTCAATCGCCATCTTCCATCTTCTTGAATCCTATTCCTTTCTTGTTCTTTCCACAAGACTCTCCAGTCTTAGTCTTGCCATTCACTTTCACTTTCACCCCCTGTAACCTCCCTCTCGTTCTACTCTTGCCCATGTATTTCAAATTATGAACGATTGATACGAAAGGAGAAAAGTGTATATCAAAGCACTTTTTATGGACTATCCCGGATTGATAAGCTTCATTCTACTTTTTATTGCTAATTTTGGAAACAGTAATAACGAGTAAATAAATATAAAAGAGAAAAATCTGTGTGCATGTGTGTTTGTGTATCTATATATATGCCCGTATAAATTGATATATCAAGCTTAAATATATAGAAGGTGGCACACGAAAAAGGCCGTAATTTGGCAGAATTCTGATCTAAAAATTTTCACTGTATAATATCCAATCTAAGAAAAAGTGTTGGTTTCAGCGCGTTAACGAATGAGATTATGTTGAAAAGTAAATAAACTGTAACACAAATGTGTTTTACACTCTTCGGGTGTGGATTTATAGACCTACCGATGAATACAGATACGCATGCTGCTGTTGTGTGGGTGTGTAGTTGTAGGTGTAAGTACATATCTGATCGGATATTAACCAAGTTTAGCCTGTCCTGTGTGATACCACAGCATTGGGGCACTCAGTGTCAATCAAATTAGCTGCCGATGGCTTGCCCGATTTGTTTTACTTAACATTTTTCTCCTTACAAGAAGTCCAATTGCATGAAACATGATTGAATGTCTTAACCATTAAAGATAAGAAAAAGACCGAAGACAGAATGCCGCACCCTCTCTATATCAAGAAAATTTAATACAAAGTGACGAAATATATCACTCCTTTATTCGTCCGCCTTTTAATAAGAATTAACAAAATTTATGAGCTTTAAAATTATTTTTCTAATCTTCTGATATTAAATACACTCATTTCTTTTGGCTATTATCTTCATCTTTGTTGTTTTAATAAAAGTCATCGATCGATCACTTCATTGTTGCGTCTAGTTGAAAAGTTCCTTCAGGCCTTCCTCCGCTCCTTTTTTTTCAATTAAAACACTAAATTCGACAGAGAAAATTAAGTATTAAGATCCTATTTTGGTAATATGAACATAAGAACAACAAAAGCTAAAATCTGAAATATAAAAAAATATGTCAAATTATATCGGCCTTCTGCTCCGTCCCACTATCAAGAGCGAACATATTTCCAATCTCATTACTAAAAAAACTTCCCCTCTCCTAATTTATAGCCAAATATATATTAAGGTTATATAGGTTCGCCTATCTCCGGGTTTACATTCCTTCTCTGTCTATTGAACAGGAGTTGAGGTTTATCCCTTGTTTCTTCATTAGGATTGCGTTTCCGATTCCCTCTCATAAATTCTTCTCATTCTTTCACCTTTTTTATTGTATAATTGCTTTAATTAACCATTGTCATATATTTTTGTTCATTTTTTAATCGAGTTCACCCCAAGCAAGGTATTAAAGTCACTGAGACGCAAGAGGTTACTTGATGTGGAAGAGTTAGAAACAGGAACATTGCTAAGGAGCGATAAAAGGGGAAGAGTAATCAGTAGGACAGAATAAAGCGATTGACATTTCATTGAAATATTTGCAGATTACAGTTGGCGGGAAAGCATGGAGCCGGAAAGGAGTTCCACAAGCAAGAAGGGCGAGAAAAGAAACTGTTAGCGCTTAAATTCGAAGAGTCTACGCACCGTGGCGAATTGCTCATCCGAACAATTGCCATGAACGTGTTTATAGAAAAGGCAAAGGGAGGCAACCTTAGACTGTGGGAAAGTAACTGAAGCCGATACGTCAGATCGGGGCCAATAAAATTGCTGATGCTTCTTTGGATTTTATCAAAGAGCTCTAAATACATAACAGGATCACCGGACCATATTTAGCGGAAATATTCTAAACATGGACGAATGGTAGACTTATAGATATGTAAGATAGATTATGGAGAGAAAAATTGTCTAACACGACACAGTGAACCAATCTTCCTGGCAACTGACCATGCAATGGATTCAGTATAGTCTTTTCACTTCATGTCAGCCGAGATCGTTAGCCCAAGAAGTAGCAGCGAGTCAGTCAGTTGCCAATTGTCCATTTCTTGTATTATTTTGATCTGTTCTTATTATTATTTTTATTTTTATTATTGTTGTTGTTGGAAATTTTATCATTTTTAAAAATGCCCGCTTATTAATCACAAGAAATTAAGTTTTCTGATAAGGCTTTGTTATAAGCTTTTCTTCTGTGTTTGACTGCGGTGACATGATATCTGTAATATAAGGCTGTCCCAAAAGTTCGTAAACACTTGCAAAAAATTGAAATTTTACTCGCCAAGTAATAACAAAAACAACAAAAGTTATTCCTCAAAATAAAGACCATCATTTTCCAAGACTTTCTGCCATCGATCTGCAAGCATTCGGATCTGGTGAAAGTACCATTTAGCCGGCTTAGAATCAAAGAATTCTTGACACGCTTCCTCGACTTCATCAAACGAGTCGAATTGGTGGCCCTTCAGAAAGTGTTGCATTGAGCGGAAAAGGCCGTAATCTGATGGAGCACAGTCAGGACTGTAGGCTGGATGTGGCAGAACCTTAACGCAGTCCAGCCCTTAAAACTTGTCTTTGGCCTTCCTGGCGGTGTGTGGCTTGGCATTGTCCTGCTGCATCAAAGCGCGCTTTCGGTTGATCAGAGCCGGGTACTTTTGCTTCAACTTTTCGTAGACTCGCTCCAGTTGCTGACAGTAAAGTTCGACACTGATGGCACGACCATTCGGAACCAACTCAAAATGGACGATTCCTTCAAAGTTCCACCAAACGCACAACATGACTTTCTTGCCGAATCGATCTTGTTTTGGAACTGACGGTGTCCTTTCTGAACCCATCGCTTGTCTCGATTGTGCTGGACCAGATAGATCCATTTCTCGTCCGATGTCACAATGCGATTCCAAAAACGCTCGTCCAATGGATTGCTGAGCAATTGACAGCAAATTTCAACTCGTCTGTTGGCTTGTGCTTCGGTGAGTTCATGCGGATCTTGGCGCGGCATTTTGTGAAAAAAATCAAGTTGCTTCAAGTGTCGGTGTAAAGTCGATTTGCCAACTCCAAGCTCATCAGCCAATTCTCGAGTGCTCGATGAAGGCGCAATGTCCAACCCTGTTTGCAAGTCTCCATCATCTAACTTTAACTGCCGTCCCGAACGAGGTTCATCTTCAAGACTCATGTCGCCAGAATCGAAACGCTTATACCACTTTGAGATCGCCGCATATGCAATTGTTCCTTCACCTTCGGCAGCACAAATCTCTTCTGCAGCTTTTCTGGTTGAAAGACCTCGCTTCCAGCAATAACGAATCAAAACTCGCAGCTCAATTTTATCAATTGCCACCTGGAATACAAAGATGAAGATCACTATAACAATATAAACGCAAAAAAAACAATTAAATAAAAATTTTAATGAAATAAATTTTTTTCAACATTATCAAAATTAACAATAAAGTAAAAAAAACAATTAAAAATTGCATACAAATTCAATTTTTCGCAAGTGTTTACGAACTTTTGGGACAACCTAATAAAAAGGAAATATACTGGAAAAAATACTTGAAATAAAACGACTACTCAACGTTATTTTCAACCAATAAGATAATTTTGAAAACGCTTCATAGTTAGCAAGCCGGAGAACTTACAGAAAAGACCATCGGCCAGTTTTTCACTATGATTCGGTTCGTGCGTCAATAGACTGAAGATATGAACTCGGCAGAGCAACTATTTTTTATAAATAGCAAAGATTTAGGTGGAGACGTTAGAAGTATAGGGTTGAAGGAGAATTTGAAGGAAACAGAAAAATGGATAAACATCCACCCCTGTTCCAAAAAACAAGGAAGAGTGTAAAGCGGACGATAGGTGAACCTATGTATTCCTAATGTGAAAAAAAGGAATGAATAGTAAATATTTCTGAGTTTATGTGGAGACGTTAGAAGTATAGAGGTGAAGTACAATGTAGAAGGAACCGGAAACCGAATCCTAAAAAGAAAAGAAACAACCACCTTTGCTTTGCATATTTCAAATCTTAAATAATAACATCTAAATTTTTGTTAGAGTTACTATTAGAAATTGCTAGAAAAATCTACTTATTTTTTTTATAACTATTTCAAAAAATTATGCTACGTTGTAACTTCGGCAATGACTTTAATTTTGCTTTTTTCTTGTTTGTTTTTCTAGCTTTCCTAACGTATTTATGTTTCATAGACTTGTTTTACCTATAAATCGTTCGACACATCATAGTAAAAGAAGTATCAGTGAAAATAGATGAGTTAACCTTAGCGATTTAGAGTTTTTTTTCTTATTCTGTGTTGTTTCACTCCACAATTTACAATCACTTTTGTAGCTCTTAATAAATTTGTCTTTCTGTTATATCACCTAAACCCTGTTTTGCCATCCATTTGCACGATCTAGCAGGGTAGGTTATGCGCTGTTTGCCTCTATCCTTCTTACCTTAAATAAACATATCTAACGGACATCCATGTTTGTCAGAGGCCATTTACCACAACAGACATTTGTGTGACAGTTAAGGCATTAAAAAAAACATAGAAGTCAACGTATTGACAATCAATCAAAAAACACAAGAAGAGATTCTCTTTACTTTGATACCCTTTTCTCCTACGAACTAGTAATAATTTCATCAATTGATGAATTAAGACTAAAACTCACAAAATATATATTTTTAATGATGGATTTGTTTTTTACAACTTATAAACCTTTTATATGTTAGTCATTTAAAGCCAGAAAACGTTTTTAGATTGTAACAATTATGGTGGAGGAGCGGTTAATAATGATTATACACATAAAACTCCTACTAATTAATCTATAGTTGGGAGGGAGAAGTGGATTCATGCCTTTCCTAAGAGTATTTGCCCATAAGTGAATATAACGAGCCGGGCTCTCCGATTTCTAGTTCCCAGTCGTTATTCTTTACACCACCTGGTTTCCCAAGCGTTCACCCACCTAGGTACTGACCAGCCCCATCGTTGCTTAACTTTGGTGATCGTACGTGAACCGATATTTCAATGTGATATGACTGTAAGCCCTATAATGATGAAGGACGTTGTAATAGGACCACTGAACAAAAATTGTCCTTGCAGAATCTTCTTATATATGCCATGTCCCTTCAGGGTGTTGGCGATCATGGCTCTCCACAATTTCCTGTCCTTTGCAGCTCTTAATAAATATTGTCTTTTTGTTATCTCTCCTAAACCTTGTTCCGCCATCCATTTACTCAAGATCGCTAGGTAGGTTATTTATTTATTTTTCTCTGTCCTTCTTGCTTTCAATCTGCCCCTTTATTATCAAATGTTCCAAGTGGTGTTATCAAGTACGTACAGAAAAATGATGTAGCCCCTAAGGACATTCATGCTGTCATGATTGCTACATTAGAGGTGTCGCTTCAGCTTTATCAACAGTGTAAAAGTGTGCAGATGAATTAAGGAGGATGAGGGAGAGTTTTGAAGATAACCCAAGGTCTAAGCGTTCTGCAACTGCCACCACTGAGGATGACATTGGTTGTGTTAACCACATGATGCGCGGCTCAACTGATTTCTGTCTGGTGGGGCTTCGTTTTTATTGACGCCGTCAAAACTGGGGTGGGTCTGTCGGCGCCAGGGGTTCTTCGATAATTCTAAATACATATCCACCCTTCTTATTTCTGGTTAGAGATTTTCCACTCTTTTCCATTTTTGGTAACTCTTTTCTCACTCCCACTCTCTTACTGTGCTTCTGAGGGGCGTGCACTGCCTTCCCCACTTCTTCGTATCGGCTTCTCATACTTACACTCTGGATAGAGGCGTCGACTGATTTTCTTCGTGCGTCACGTGACCACTCTCGGCCAATGAGGTCCTGGTCGGGTATCTTTCCTCCTCCTCCGTGCGTCACGTGGTCCACTTGGCCAATGACGTCTTGGTCGGGTATCTTTCCTCCTCCTTCGTGCGTCATGTGATCCACTTGGCCAATGACGTCTTAGTCGGGCGTGAACAACCCGTGGCTTTGTTTTGGGAAAGAAATACCTTGCTTAACTAAAAAGAAAAATTAATTAAATCGCCCTTATCATGAGCGGCCGATGTGACACTCTCGGCTTTAACACGTGGCGTTTGTCAAGCAGTTTATCGCTAATTGAACATGGCCTAAGAACTAAATTTTCTTAGCCAACTTGGCGTCTCCAAAGCAAAAATAAAAATATTTCATTTTCTTCGGCCCATGTGTTGATAACAAAAAATCTTTATTATCGCAGGGCAAAAGTCTATTCTGTCAAAAGAAAAAACTTAGCCAGTGAAAACTACTTGTGTGGGATTTTAATTCTCCACACCCAGCGAAGACTGTCTGTGTTTCGTCAATGTTCAACAATGGATTTCTTCTTTTGGTGACATCCATTGATAACAAAATTCCATTTTTCGTGGACAAGCGGAAATCGGTCAACGCTTGTTCGTAGGTGACCTAGATATTTTCGACATCTGATACCTATCAACAATAACCTTTTTCCTCCTCATTTCCGTCTCTTAAGCCGTGTGTGTGTGTGTTCGCCTATGACCCGTCTCGTATTACTTTTTCTTTCTTTCTTCTTCGTTTTCTCTTTCTTTTTCCCAAAACGCCTGAATGCAAAGAAAGAATTATTCTTAAAACCTAAAATATTTTTCGGCCTTAAATAATTCTCAAATGGTTGATAAACCGTAAAAAAAAGCAAATCATATATCTATAAATATTTCTTTCAAATCGTCAGGATGCATGGTGCCACACACACACACATATATATATATATATATATATATATATATATATATATATATACTGATGTTTATTGACGTCAAGAACAGTAAGGTGTAATCGATCTTTTGATCGCAGCTCATCAATGGAAAATTAAACCGACTCCTTCTCTCCACTGAGTTGGAGTGAGATCCTGAGTAAGTCTTAGCAACCCCTAAGCCCTCCGCACGAGGGACACGGCGAAAGCCAGTGGCAGCAGGCTTGTGGATTGCAGTTGCTGACACCTGTATGCATCAGCTTGATAAGTTCTGCTCCATTCGGCAGGCCGATGAGATCTCCAGCAATACCACCGTTCAGTGATACCTAGCAGGGATAGGATGCTTCTGTTGGGCATTTGTCTAATACCTCCATTGTACTGCTTTGGCTATCGATGGAATCAGGTGCCTAATCAAACCACAGAGTGCTGCTGATGGTGCACAACAGTTCGGTACTATAACCCAGCCCAGACAACGAGAAGAAAGATGAGTTGCAAAAAGATGGACTTGAAAGCGACGTAAATCGATATAAACAACCGAAATAGCTAGTGTGGAACTCCCCCCGCATAACGCCGAATGCTTCATATTGGAGTAGAAATCGAAGCGGGCCTGTTACCATCGAGCATCGACCCAGTGACATGAGCATCACGCTTTACAAGCCACCAGACCTATTGAATCTCTTTCTCGTTTCTTCGACGGATAGTCGATGATCTCAGCTTAGGGTACCTAGGCTTGTCGGTTCTACATTTTAATTCTTTTTCTTTCTTTGGTACGTCAAACAGACCGGAACATATTTATGCTCAGAATGTTATCAGAGAGCGAAATACGAATGCAGCAAGACGTATACCTATATTTTATACACTAAGCAATGGTGTATAACAAAGTATGACACATAAAAATTCTATTAGACCTGCTCAACAACCTTGACATATCCGGAAAAAATTAGAATACTCAAAATTCTCTACTGGCAGCAAACCGCAAAAATAGGAAGTGGTGTAAGACAATAGGATGTGTCGTCTCGCCGGACTTATGCAACTTATACAGCGAGGTGATTCTGAGAGAATTAGAAATTCTCCCAGGATTCAACATTAACAATATAAGATATGAACAGCGCATAGTGATGATAGCAGACACGGAAAGGAAATTACAAAACCTCCTACAGAAGGTAGCGAAGGGAAACAAGAAGAAGGGAGTAAGCATAAACTACAAGAAGACAGATTGCATGTCATCAGCAAAAAGATTATCCCAAAATGCAAATTATAAATCGGGGATACTAAAAATCAAGCAGTAACGGAAATATTAAATATCTTGGAAGTTTTCTAACAGAGGACGGAAAGAGTGACACTGAAATCCGAAGACGTATTGGGATGGCCAAAAATGCATTCCAAAACCTAAACAGAGTATTAAAATTCTATTAGAAATCAAGGAAAGAGGACTGAACTGTTACGTGATCTCTGTCTTCCTGTACGGCAGAAAATTTTGGACAATTTTTTCAAAGATGAAGAAGAGACTCTAAGCAACAGAAATGATGTTATACAGAAGGATGCTAAGGATACTATGCGCTGAACATGTGAGCAACGACGAGGTTTTGGAGAGAATGAAAACAAAGAGGAAATGTATACTTAACATCAGGAAGAAGCAGTTGAAATTTCGGGGACACGTAATGAGGAAGAATGGCTTGGAAAATCTGATACTCACAGGACGCATAGAGGGAAAGAGAGACAGGGGAAAGCAACGCGTGATATACTTAATGGGCTTGAGCAAGTGGATGGAAGAACAGAGAATAAAACTCATTAAAATAGGGAAAATTAAATTCCTTAGACTCACTTTTTAGTTATTCACCGATCTTTTGTATGTTCTGTCACGGGTTACATGCGAAAAGAAAATTTATATGCATTTATGTGTGCGCATGCGCATGCTTATTTATTTGTCTGATATAGCTGCATTATGTATAGTGCCTCTAGGATACTAATGGATTACGAGATTCGTAACGTCACGTGACTTATGTGTGTGCGTGTGTATGTGTTTCCGTGTGTAGCTGTGCATATTTATAAGTGTTTGTATTTACTTACGTATGTGTACGCGTGTATTTTTACGTGAGCTTTGGCACGATTTTGTTTCTCTTGCTCTACGTATATGTATTATGCTTCTGTATAAGTTTGCATATGTGAACATATTTTCATTGTTAATGTGTCTGCATTTATGAGAGCTTCTGTAGTTGTGCGTGTAAGCTTATCCATATGTGTATCTTTGCATACGAGTGTATACGTATGTAGGTATGTAATCATGAGGGCTTTGTGTGTGTTTATGCATATTTAGACAAGTTTATTTATAGTGATCATTATCTATCTATCTGTACACATACAGTGTATCACAAAAGTGAGTACACCCCTCACATTTCTTCAAATATTTAAGTATATCTCTTCATGGGACTACACTGACAAAATGACACTTTGACACAATGAAAAGTAGCCTGTCTGCAGCATATATAACAGAGTTAATTTATTTTCCCCTCAAAATGACTCAAAATATAGCCATTAAAAGCTGGCAACAAAAGTGAGTACACCCCTTAGGAAAAGTTGTCAATATTAACATACAACATGTCAACTGTCAATATTTTGTGTGGCCACCATCATTATCCAAAACTGACTTTACTCTCCTGGGCATGGAGTTTACCAGAGCTTCACAGGTAGGAATGCTCTTTCACTCCTCAATGACAACGTCGCGGAGCTGGCGGATATTTGAGACTCTGCGCACCTCCACCTTCTGCTTGAAGATGGCCCAAAGATGTTCTATTGGGTTCAAGTCTGGAGACATGCTTGGCCAGTCCATCACCTTTACCCTCAGCCTCTTCAGTAAAGCAGTGGTTGTCTTGGATGTGTGTTTGAGGTCATTGTCATGATGGAACACTGCTCTGCGACCCAGTTTCTGGAGGGAGGGGATCATGCTCTGCTGCAGTATTTCACATTACATGTTGGAGTTCATGTTTCCCTCAATGAAATGTAACTCTTTAATACCTGCAGCACTCATGCAGCCCCAGACTATGACATTCCCACCACCATGCTTGACTGTAGGCATGACACACTTATCTTTGTACTCCTCACCTGGTCGCCGCCACACATGCTTAAGGCCATCAGAACCAAACAAATTAAATTTCATCTCATCAGACCATAGGACATGGTTCCAGTAATCTATCGGCTTTGTTGACATGTCTTCAGCAAACTGTTTGCGGGCTTTCTTGTGTATTGCCTTCAGAAGAGGCTTCCTCCTGGGGTGACAGCCATGCACACCAATT